TGACATGCCATATCAGCTTAGAGGCTGAATTGGACCACTGGTATTGTAACAACCATTTCGAATTCAAGCCTTAAATCCTCTTCACTCATAACTTTAATTCCCTCCAGTGCCTCTACCCGTTTTATTTGATGATTTCCAAGATCTTTGTGAAGACGAAAGTTTATTTCATTTTTAATGTAAGTGGCCACCTATGATGACCTTTCAAATGAGATTGAAATTGGTTCTCACAGCTTGGGAGTCGCATAAGCACATTTCGTCATTACAGCGCTTGTAAATTCTTGTTTTCATATTTCTCTCAGAAATAAGCATTACTGTTTACATTTCCCTACATACATGTCTATATTTGTGTATACACATATATATACATGTAACCAGGTACTAACAATACATGTATAGTAAACAAGTATCAATTTTCTGTTAATATAAAGGCTGTTACTATGCTGCATTCTGCAAATCAAATTAATCAAAACACAGCAATTACATGTAGTTCTGTCCTCCTTTTGTAATTTTAACTTTAACATAAATATTAATTAATGCCTGTTAACACTACGTTGCTTCTGTCATCTGTTGATGAGAAACTATAGCATCATATTTGCTCCATATTTTGTGATATGTTTAATTAATTAATTATGCTCTGACACAAATAATATTTATTTCAGACAATTTTGTGCAAATTTTTTAAGTGATGACATTGCAATTCTGTTAATTCGCACACATTAATTCAGCTGCCATATTGTGTGAATGAGTTTATATCATCGCGAAGTAAGTTATGTCATGTCGTAGCTTTAAAAGTTTTATTTGTTCGTTCATTACTGTAAATATATACATTTTAGAAGTTGGTGGTACAATAATAAATTACAACAATACGGCGACGCCAACAAATTACGTGGTGGATTTTTTGAAGGTGAATGTGTTCGTCGTAAACAAGATCATGAACATATTCCTGGCTGAAACCTTTCAAATGTGTTTTATTTAACTTTTTTTAAAATAGACATTAATTGCAACAATAATTTATTTGTTTCTGTTTTTAGTCTACAGCATTCGCATTTCGAATATATTTCATTTTTAAATTCAAACTTCTAAATTGTGAATCATGTCGTAATTCCAAAAAAAATTTGCACTACAACTGAACCCAATAATATTGCTAATATTGCTAATTAATATTCATGACCGACCGGCACTCATGTTGGGCTGGCGAAATCCCTGAATGACGTAGTTGTAGCACCCTTACACGGCAGAATGGAGCGTTCAAGGGAACTTGGAAAAAGTCAATTATATTATTACAGTATAGCTGCGTTCACGTACAGCTCCTTAGCACAGGCTAAGAGATCACATTCATTAGCACGGGCTAAGGAATGCTAAGTACGGGTAAAATCTGATCTGATTTCAAGACACGGTCCAGACCCTTAGCACAGGCTAACGAAGTGTGCGCGAACGCTAAGCCCAGGGCTAAGCGCCCTCTGTGACAACCTTTGAGTATGAATATTATGCACGTGATCAAATATATGCAACTTTCTCATTTCGAAATAGCAACCGAGCTCAGACGTAACAAAGACACAACCTAGAAGACGCACGATTTGAAGGAAAAAAAAATGTTCAAATCTACACACACTTCCACAATGATCAGGTTGCTGTAGTAGAGCGTACAGCAGCTCCAATCATAGACAAAATAAATTTGGTTTGATGTCTACAACAAGCATTAATAAATTTCTGCATTCTGTTACGCCGTTGTATACTGTTTCTGTGCATCTAAATAAGTCAGGTCCGTCTTCGCTTGCGTGCGTTCCTGTGCACGTTACGTCGCTTCAAAATTAGAACAAAACATGTCAGCAACAGAAATTTTGTGTTTGTAAACAGCGGCTTATCAAAGGTCTCCACTTAGCCTGTGCTAAGGACTGGCCCTCCCAGTGCTTAGACACAATTGGGTCTAGCCGAAACGCAAACATGTGAGATAAGCCTAAATCAGCTTAAATCTTAGCCTGTATGTGTAGCATAAACACTACTTATATGGCAATACTGTTTTCAGTTGCGCACTGTAATGTCTAAAGAATTGATTCATGACATCCATCAATGACCTTATAATTATTATAACAATTGACTAAAGAATACATAGTCTATGTTATTAACAGAGTAAACTATGAATGTTTGCTCAAATTTTGCCGAAGAAAGAGAGAGACAAACAGCTGTTAAGGAAAGGTCATTGACCGATCGACGAAGAGTGCCCTGGACAATGCGTTAATTTCGACCATAATCGCCTCATACAATCTCACTGAAAGACAATAAACTTACCAACGATTCTCCATTCGCAGTAGACATCCATCGGATAGTTGCCGGGACCTTCCGTGATGTGACCTGTCCAGGTATTTTCGAAAACCGTCCTACCCGAACAAGACCCATCAACCCCACTTATAAAAACAAGGCATATAAATCCCAACAAATACGTGATATCTCGCCATATATGATCTCTTTCACGTCTTTTGCACCACATAATTGTAAATAAGAACACACAGAGCTAATAGAACGACTGCTTTTTAGTTTAAAATCCAGTTTTTGACGTCTGGAGGTAAGCTTGAATACATCTCCCTGAAGTTGTTCATCCTGTCGCAGAACAATGCACACAAGTGTTTCTGAAAACCTCCCTTAATCGCATTAAATCGTATAAAACTGGCCTAAATCGCACATTATCCGTAGTCAAAATTACTTAAATACCGTCCACATTCGTGATGTTCACATATCTGCTTGATTTCAGGCCAAAATATCTGATGCTGTGGTACATAATTGCTGCTTTAGTAGATTCCAATAATGGCGAACAGATGATTTGCACATTAAAGCGCCCTCACTCGAACCGTTTAGCGTTCTTACTTGTAAACAACATGACTATAAATAGTTGTCAAACAAGAGAATTTATTTATTTATTTATTTATTATTTATTTATTTATTTATTTATTTATTTATTTATTATAAATTTGAATTTAGATTTTTTCTCATCTTTATTTATTTATTTGATACAACACTCACTAGAAAATAATACATGTAGTATGAACACTTTATCCCGGACTGTTTCAGTTACCATACTGTGGCATATGATGATAAAAAATAGTGTAATAAAGATAAACATTCATTATAATCTACTATATTCACTGTGCTATATTCAAAATGTAAATTCTTAATTTATTTTTGGAAACTGATTTTGTTTAAGAAATCACTGTATGATTTAATTTCTGTTTATTGAAAAAATGCATCAAAAACCCTCATCAAAAGACATAAAATAAATCAACCAGCCATTCTTTAAAACCATTTAAATCATAACATCGTCATTGCACAGTTATTTTTAGTTACCGTGCTTTTTGCAATGAACTCTGAGCAGGGGAGCGCCCCTTTTCAATTTTAAATCAAATTTACAATGACCCTTTGACCTGTGTTTTTCTGTTTATCAATAGAGGGCGCCCGATTCATCTGCGCATGTTCGATTCGGTTTGGAGCGAAAATACAACGTCCTATAAACTATGTTGTCAAACTGGTTCTGAAATATTCGATCTGTGACATTTTTAACCAACGAAAGAAGAGTAGGAGGAAATGCCGCGCCCGAGATTGTAAGTATTGCCCGAACGTACCACTAATTGAATTTCCATAGACGACAATGTTAACATATGACGAGATTGCTAATGCTATACGAAAATGATAAACAAAGTTGAAAACATGGCTCAAAAAGGGGAAATCAACATGCCAGGAATCAACCATATGAACAAAAATAACATGTTGGCCAGCTAAAACTTTTGCAAAACTCAGGTAAACAAGACACACCTACTGTATTTGGATTGCACCTAGAGAAATCACCAAGATTGGAACATCCAAATACACACAGAATAAACCCACATGTACACAGCTGCTAAGTAGTAAACAAAAGACCACATGTTAGTCTCACCTTTGACTTTTGTATACATGTAGGTGATTATTCGATTCTGTTCATAGGTACTGTGCAAGTAATTTGACTGACCCCTAGCCTAGGTAGCTTTCCTAATGATCTCACCATGATTGACCCAGACAAGTCTTGAAAATAGTTGATGACATGATGCTTTTTTTTTTAGCACAAATTTTTCACTTGAAATTGCCTGCAGTCAGTTGAATAAAAAGATTGTGTCTTGTCTTTGCACCAAAGTTAAACACAATTAGTCAAAGTGCATCATTAGCCCACCATAGGAGATGACATTAGCAAGTACTGTAAAATGACTAATTTTCACTGGGTTTAAATTTCACTGATTTGCCATTTCAGGCATATTCATATGGGTTTTAAATTCACGGTTTTATCATTTAGATAATGTGTTCTACGCTAAATTTTACAGTCGCATTTTCCAGTCAGCGAAATAAGCCAAATTAAAACCCAGTGAATAATTAATCTCTTTACAGTAGATTGTACATGTATAAATACTATCTGCCTAGGCATAATGTTTGCATGGTATGATAGCCTAGAATTCCGTTAATGTATGCCCCTCCACTAAAGACTAGTTTTGATACTGTAATGTCTCATTTCCCATTCAAATATTTTTTGTTTTGTTTCTGTGAGAGCGCAATTCTGTGTTATAAACCATAAGAGCATATGCACTTCATTATTGTTGAATTTGTATCTGGTGTTAAGATCTTTAGGTAAACAAATTGGAGGAAAACGAATGAAGTGCACATGCGCAAAGACTAATGATTTATAACACAGAATTGCGCCCTCATATTTCTATAAAACATTTCAACTTTCATTTCTGCCTTTTATTAGCTCCGCTGTCGACTTTGTCGAGCGGAGCTTATCATATGAGTGATTGTCCGGTGTCCGTCGTCCGTGTCAATGTTTTACATTTTCGACTTCTTCTTGAAAACTACAAGTCTGAATGCTTTGACACTTGGTGTATATGTACCTTGGGTAGACCTCTCTCAGATTTTTTCATTTCATGATC